CACAAGGATGTTGTTAGTTATTAGTTTGATTAATGCTTTAATAATGTGAGTATTGATAACTGACGCTGGCTGATCACGCTACACTAGACAAAAGGTAAAAACTGGCAGCTGTGGTTGCCAGAACTTTACTGTAATAAATACAGTTTTTCTACTATAACGGTAAAAGGATATAACTAGGATTTTAAAATGTAATCCATATTTTACCTTATAAATAAGATTTTACCATCAAAAGAAACCGATTAGTCATGTAATATATATTATATGAAGAGTGTGATGGTAGTTTTCTGTACAATTTACAGTCTGTAATATAAAAAACTTAATATGTATAAATTCCTTTCAAAATGCAGCCTAGATAAAGGTTTTGCCATCAGATATCTGCTACAGAAACTTTAATCTATTTAGAATTTACGGTCTTTTCCTGTAATGGTTCGACAGTTTTTTACCGTAAAATCTACAAATGGACATTTAAAACTATGTTTATCTCACTTTACCCAGTTTCTGAGAGCAGATAGAAACCAGACAGCCTCTGGGAGCTAACGTTAGCTACATCCCAGGTCCATTACCTGTCCGACACATGTAGTCCCATATAGGACTATAACTAACTATTATTTTCATTGTCAGTTAATATGTGGATTATGTTTTTTTCACATTAATCATTTTGTATATTAAAAGTCAAACAAATGTTAAACCATGTTGTAAGAGCCCGGATTAAAAGGTGTCCTCGTCACTGTGGGTTAAACCCTCTGGAGGAATAAACTCCACCAGCAGACATTAAGAGCAGAGACGTGTGAAGACTTTCACGATAAGCAGCCAAACAGCAGCGACTCCCCCACGGGACTCATTAAAGTTTGATCTGATCTGATATTTTCATTTTCTCAAGTTACCGACTGACTGTGTGTTTTTAAAAACCCGTGTGATCGTTTCCTCTTCAAACAACCTCTCTGATTTCCTTCAACCATGTTCTCTTATTCCGGCTACCAGATCTGATGGCGTCGGGGTCACAGGCGGGTCAGCGTGACTTCTGACCTTTTTGAAATTTAAAATAAATAATAATTTTGCAGCTTGTTGTTTGTTAAAGCCGTGAGAGATGTTCTGACTTTAAACAAACGCAGTGCAGTTAAAGTGAAAACAACAGAACGTTTTCCATCAGATTAATGTGGAATCATAGCAAACAGACATTAATCCAGATTATGACTGCCTGTCGGATCATTATCTGTACCTGAGACTCTGTTAACGCTCTCATTTGCTGCAGTTACATGCACACTTTCTACTGAAACCATGGTGATTGAAGAAGCCATGGAACGATATGAACATCATTCGTTCGCCACACCTTGAAAACGTCAAGTCAGTCCTTCCTGTTGCTGGTAGGTGGCGCTATGACTATGACTGAATATTGGTATCTAGATGTGTTCAGCCAATTAGACAATTTACAGTTTAAATTACAACAACTTCCTGTGTCTTGACGAAATATCGAAATTTGGCGCCATGGCACGGACACGCCCTTCAACGACAACTCAAGATTTTGATTATTTTTCATCCTGATGACCACTAAGATATACGTGCATACCAACTCTCATACATACTGTATGTATAATGTGCTTCTGAGGAAAAAAAGAAGAAGGGTCCTCGCAGCGGTCCGCACTTTATTATGTTTTTGACATCGTGTCACGAGACCGTTGGGAAGGAGATTCGAGGGCCGGAAATGGGCCCGGTGCCAGCAGTTTGAGTTACCTGATGTAAACAGTTACTGTGTGTTAAAATGTGCTCAGCTCCAGGTCTCTGCAGTTTATCACACGCACTGTGTGTGTCTTTACTGCATCCATGTGCGTAGGCGTCCATATGTGTATGTGCGGCGGTGTTTGGTGCCATGGGAACAGACATATGGTGACGATCACATGCTAGGAAGAAGGTCAGTCCCAAAGACGTGGAGGGAGGAGACGTGAAGCCGAGATGGGGACAACAAAGAAGAAATTACAGTATATACAGTAAATAAAAGATGTAGATTTTATTTCTGTTAAATGAGTCTGAACCCTCGGCGAGCTGCGGGATCCGCCGCGGGTTGAGCTGTATATCGTCTGGAAATGTCACATGACCTTTAGTCGTCATGCAAGACGGATGGCTTCTTCACCTTTTCAGGACATTTTCCAGGTCCACAGAGACAGCTGCATGGTGACTGAAGCGAAAGTCAAATTATTGTGAGAGATTTTGTGCTCGCAGTTATTAATCGTCTTTGTTTACATCTCGATTAGAGTTGAAATAATCAGACAAATAAACCAACTAAAGCTTCCAGAGTTTGGGACTATTTGTCAGACAGAACCAGCGATGTGACGATGTTAGAATTTAATCAAACTACCGTACAGACACAGAATGTAATGTCTGACTAAAAAGCTTGTATATTATATAAAGTGACAATTTAACACATTAAAATAAATCACACACATTAAAAATGGCAATGATGAAACACTATGAATGAAACATTACTTACAAATTGCAACCAGGACCAAGGTTACACTTAAAACGTCACCACAAGCAGATTCCAACTAATTCACATTTAATATAAATGTAAGGGACCCAAAACGCTCTTGTGTGGGACTCCACATGTTAGAGGTTGACTTAAGCATTAAAGTGTCACTACACCCAACAGGGGGCGTAGCCTCAACACAGACGCTAACAGAGCTAATGAGCAGACTCTTAGTGTCCACGCTAAAAACACAGTCCGCTGCAGATTTTACAGTCACTAGAAGCACACTCGCGCTGTCTGTAAAGGTTTCTGTGTGCTACCTGTTTGTAGCTAAGCTAGCGGCTCAGAGAGAATAACTCTCCGGTATTAGAGGACGTTAACTCTGTTTTTATAGAAATGTCGAGGTTGAGGCTGATTTAAAACAGTAGAGGGCGACACTTTCAACCCATGAAATACAGATTTTCACAACATAATAATAATAATGTCAATATTACCAACAGCATTGATGTGTGTCATCACAGTACGGGTATATAAGTCAGATTACAGCTCAGAAAATTCATTTTAGGGCCGAGAAGCTCTTTTAATGACCTTGAAAACTCTATTGGTTTAACATGAAGCAACACTGACGAACACAGAACAGTCTTATTAAATGTGACCTCTCCTCGCTTCATGGTTAATGTTTTTACCTTATAAGCTTTATGATGGTAGTCGGGGTGGTCTTTGCTTCAGGCGGTGGAACAAACACACGAATGCTCTGCAGACGTCTTTTGTTTCGGTCTTTATGTGACCTTTCCTTCAGTGCCTGTCTTCGGACAAATTATGAACTTTGTACACAAGACAAATAATGGCTGAGCTGCCATGACCTTTACTACAAATATTAATAATTTTCAGAGGAGGATTTATTTTTTTCTTTCACAACTTTTATTCTACGAAGAATCTTCAGGTAGTTTCGTTATGATGATGATCGTTGCGGCCTGCAGGGGTCACTATCGCTGCTCTTACTGCTGTGTCATTTCAAAATTATGAGGCCACACACTTTACTTCTATGGTACTGTCAAAGTCAGAATGACCTTCAGATGTCTCTCTACCTAACAGCCAGTTTTGTAGTGTGTGTGTGTGTGTGTGTGTGTGTGTGTGTGTGTGTGTGTGTGTGTGTGTGTGTGTGTGTGTGTGTGTGTGTGTGTGTGTGTGTGTGTGTGTGTGTGTGTGTGTGTGACCTCCGCACTGACCAGTATAATATGACACCAGCAGCAGAGCAGAGGTAAAGGCTTCATGGATTTGGGAACAATAATCCATTTTGCTGCAATGCCACTGCAATGCAACACCCTTTGTCTTGTTCAGGGATGCTCCCGTGTGTGTGTGTGTGTGTGTGTGTGTGTGTGTGTGTGTGTGTGTGTGTGTGTGTGTGTGTGTGTGTGTGTGTGTGAGAATGGACAGATAAAAGGGTGATTGTCTCGTCTCCTGTCAAAGGTTGAATGATGGAAAGAAGGAAAAGAGTCGATTTTTATCCATTATTGGAATTATAAACTAATTATCAAGGTGTGTGTGTGTGTGTGTGTGTGTGTGTGTGTGTTTTGACAGCCGTAACTCTCACCTCACCTGACCTCCGCTGAGAAGCCGGTGGGCTTTGTTTACTGTCGGCTCTGATTCATGTTCTGGTCGTTTCCCTCCCCGCTGTCGGCTGAGAGGATAAATTTGATGACTGAAGCCTCTTTGATTGATCGGTGATACGAGGTTTCAGCCCCGATCTCCCGCTCGCTGACGTTTTTTAAAAATCACCAATCAGATGACCCCGGATGAGAGAGTACAGTTAGCAGATAATGATTCTGATGAGCCAGCATCAGTACGTAGTGAAAAGTAGTAAAAGCTCGCTTGAGGTGTTTTTACCTTTTTGTAAAAAGAGTTTAATGGTTGCAAATTAAAACAACATATTCAGAACCAGAGGGACTATATATAGTTTTAAACAGTCAAATACTCAAAGTGGCACATGTATATAGTAGTTCCCTGAATGCATCAGTTCAATTTATGAGTCATTGAATGGATCCTATTAACTTTTGTTTTTTACATTTTAATTCGATGTACTTTTGTCTTATTTTTCTTTTTATTTGTTTTTGTTTATGTTTATTTTTCTTTCTGTCTCCTGGCAGCTTCTCTTAGTTATTTTTGTTGGGTTTCATCTTGTTTGATACGTGTATTGCCACCTGTATTAATAAATACAGTAAGTAAAATAAAGTAAAATAAACTCCTGTGTGATGAGCCGGCAGTCTCCTCAGAATGAATCCTCACATTAACACATGAAACTAACAGAAACGTTATTTCCATCCTGTTTTCTACATTATTTTTCACCATTTGAGCGTCGACTCTTTGGAGAATCGGTGCCACCTACTGCTTACCTCGTGAACCAGCTCCTAACAATCACATATCGGCAGTGGGTGGAAACAAGCGTTCATTTTCTTGAGACGAACATTACGACACTTTTCTGCTATTTTCTTTCTCTGTTTTTTCGCCGTGTTACATCCTGATGTCTTGTGTTTTCCAGCTCTATGGACCAATCGTCATGAGACTCTGCAGCTACCCCCTGTCCTCGCTCCTCCCCCTCCTGCAGTCCCCGCCCCGTCCTCTGCTCCACCGCTGCCGTCTATCAGCGCTCTCGGCCGATGGCGGGGCAGCACCACGCAGGCGCCTCAGCACAGATGGCCCCGCCTCTCAGCCTGTGATTGGTCAGGACTCGGTGGAGGTGTTGGGCCACTCTTACCCGCGGGACGACTTCACCAACGTCACGCCGAAGATCTTAGCCAAGGTCGGCCGCAATCTGCACAACCAATCCCATCATCCTCTGTGGCTGATCAAGGAGCGAATCAAAGCTCACTTCTACAGGTACGAACTGAGTTAAAGTCCGCCGCCATGTTTTCATACTATTATTACTATTACTAATACTTCCTTAAAGGAGCCGTTCTCTATCACTGAGTGAACTCAGTAACTGTCTGTGTTATGTATTTATTTAACTTTTAACAATCATTCAGACTTTTTTGACCAATTCAGTGTTTTCTTCTACCTGATGTTTGATGCCATCAGAGTTTATATATTAAATAATTCACTGTAATGTGATTAGTTACACAAAAGTTAAAACATTCTTGATTCAGTTTTTTTTCACAGTTTAATAATAAGTGAAGTCAGTGTCACTTAAAATTATTAAAGCTACTCGATAAAGAATGTTTTTATAACTTACAAATTGAGTTTGTTTTACTTAACATTTGAATCTGTTTCAACCATTTTTGGAGTTAAATGAACTTTTACAGTGTAATATAAACTTTAGTCTTTAAATTATTTCATTTAGTTTTCTTTAAAGAAATAACAGATGTTGAGATACAGACTGACTGTGTATATTTTTAGCACACTTTGGTGAGCATTAAACCTGGTAAACCATCACCAACCTCTGTGAGCCGATGTTAGTGTGCAGCCTCTCAGCAACTCGCTGTAGATTAACTGCAGTCTGAGCTGTTTCTGAGCAAAGTACAAATGTTCTGTTGTTGTGAATTTTTAACTTTAAATGTGAATGTTCACACTTGAGGTGTGAATGTTCACACACTCCCTGATTTAAAGTCCTCTCTCTCTCTCTGTCTGTCTGTCTCTCTCTCTCTGTCTCTCTCTCTGTCTCTCTCTCTCTCTCTCTCTCTCTCTCTCTCTCTCTCTCTCTCTCTCTCTCTCTCTCTGTGAGTGTGTCCAGATAAAATAAAACCAGTTTGTCCTTTAAACCAGCTGCTCTTATATTTCCACTATTATAAATATATTTATCTTAATATATGTTTGTGTTCTTTATTTTGGGAGCACAAACTGCTGACTGACTCTCTCCACAGTCTCGATGTGTCTTCAGGGACAGTCGAGTGTAAAAGTTTGCTGCACTGCACACAGCAGTGAAATATCGTTAAGCTGCTGGTTATGTTCCACACTCGCCATAAAAAAACCAACACGCAGCAGCGAGCGCATTAATACTGCATTAATAAGTCATTAAGGAGTGGCGGAGTGTGTTGTCGGACGGTGGTTTATGACTCTGCCATTTCACAGGTCGTGAACTTTACTCTTTAGAAAAGCCTGTGTGCTCTGATGGCAGCGGGACAGCAGACTGTGATCAACAGATACTTTTATTATTCTACATTAAAGCTCATTTATTTCCCTCTGTTTGTGTTTTACTTACTTCTGCTTCTTATATGAATGAAACAGCAAGAATGAATCAGTGCTAGCAGTAGTAGTGTTAGTTGTAAATGCTACATGTTGATTTTCTGCCCAGTAAACTTACCCTTGGTGTATTTTAAATTATAATTTGCAGCTAAAACAAATATTAAAAATGTTTTGAAAAGTGACATTTTTTAGGTGACTGTTGTTTCAGCAGCATCTTAGTGACTACTTGATACAGTTATTTAAATTGTGTTCAAACAATATTTGATATATTATATTTAACAAAGTCTAGAAGAACTATTCAACCATATTCATCTCTCTTTAAATCTCGATGTCTGGATGTATTTTGACCTTCGAACCTGCGTCTATGACCCATAATGCTTCACTGGTAACTAAAACAAGAGAGCTAGCGCCGCCGCCCACCAGACTCCATTGACAAAAACACTCATTTAACACAAAATATAAAACTCACCAAAACCGTCTTTGTTAGTTCGACCATCCCGTCACGTCGCTCATGAGCGCCACTAACGGACCGACTCTCTCCGCAGTGCGTACGCCGCTAAGAGGGGAAACCCGCTGTTCTCTGTCCATGACAACCTGAGCCCCGTGGTCACTGTGGAGCAGAACTTCGACAGGTCAGCAGCCTCATTGATTGATTGATTGATTGATTGATTGAACATACACGCTATCAAAGTCCTGTTTACAGAGGATGTGACCTTGTGTTACATTTTATTTCTAATCAAATGTCCTCAGAACAAACGGAAACAATAAAACAACATGATGTTTACATTTTGTTTATGTGTTGTTTACATGATACTCATTACTCATTGTGGAATTATTGATGAACTATTGATGAATTACTG